ATACGCGACAGGTCTGGGCCAATAACAAGAACCGTCGGCCACCCCGGTCCTGACAAGATTCTCAACCCAAACAGACCGCCCACCGCTTGCTCCAAGATAGTTTAAAGGTTTCAATGCAACTCGCCACCCCCAGAAGCTTTGCTCCTTTGCGTTCGGAGGGACGTAGCGACATGATGTAGCAGAAGGTCACAAGGTGCCGACACTTCTGCCAAACTGTGCACTTGTCGCGGTTTCGAGGCAGTCCATATGGCTTCAAGGCCCTGCTGACCAGAGCATCCGCGTGTCAGATTCGATGTCTATTCGCGCCGAACGATGTGCGTTGGAAGGAGGCTTGACCCGAGCCACCCTGCCGGGGTGGAAGTGCAAAGCAGCACAGCTTGACGGCGTCCCGGGACAATTGCAGGCAAACGTCGCTACGGGCACTACGGTCACAACACCATTTCGCAGCTGGCAAACAAGAAGAGCCAGGAAGAGAGTTATGCGGAGCAGTTGCTCTGGTTCTGGCTGCCTTGTACGCACCGCGAAGTCAGGGAGAATCTCATGTTGACACGTTTGACACTCTTCCCAGAATCAATGAGCTCAACATTCAGTGCGCCCTGTGAGCTCAACCTGCTGGCCGTACAACATCCTGGTCGGTCACAAACATGGAAGTAGCCACGAAGGACAAGCGTGGTGCTATGGTAGTAGCCAAGGGAGCAAGGGATTCTTCATGCAAGCAGCTACTGCAACCCGAGGTGAATCTGTTCCGAAACTGTGCTGTCAAGCTACACACACTCTGGAAACGGAGCGTCTGCCATCGGACAAGCAACACCGCAGAACGAATCACAGCATGTCACCACCCGCATCAGATTCGGGCACGTGGCAAGCAGGACAGCTTCTCTGCGCATGGCAGGTCGACAAGGTCGACAAGGTGGCAGAGTGCTGCGCCGACCGCTGCGGGAACTTTAGTGCTACAGAAACTGCTGACGTGGGAATGATCCAGGCCCCACAACCCTGAAACTGAAAGCTTGAAGCTCCCTTCCTAGGCACTGGAGTCACTGGAGCATGAATGATAGGTGGGGTCCCGAGGGGTTCATGAGTCCGTTAATCGGTTAATGAGAGGATGTGGAGAACCTGATGTTGGGGTCACGAGGGCGGTTCCTTGCAAGTCTACCCCATGACACCAACTGATAGAAAAAGAGCGCACAGCAGCTAGAGAGGTGATCTGCCTTGGAATGTTTGCTTCAGGGGGAGGGGGGAGGGAGGGGACGGACCAAGCTCGCAGTTTTGAAAATTACACTCAGCAACCAAACACTTTACTGGCAACGCTAGTTCCGAGAACGATTTTCCCGTGAAGCAGCGTCGAGTCTGATGTTCGAGGTGAAACAATGGAAGTTAACTTGTTACAACGTCCGCTGCGCCTTCATCTGCTTTGTCGTACATGTACCTTGCAAAGCTCAAGTTCAATGCCAGCCAAGTGCTTGCAACCTTCAACGAGCCTGCTGAAGTGTTGGCAATTCCAGCGCGAAAGCTCGTAATTCCTCTCTTTGACATCATCCCAGTGAGCCTGGACCTCAATGGCACTAGATTTAAAGAGTTCAGGTTCATCTTCTCGGGCAAGCACTGATTGTGTGATGTCTGATGACTACATGAGCAACGTTGCCAGCCTCGGCAGTCAAGCGAGCGCACCACTTCCTTTCCAGGACGTCGCCGTTGGGACATGGGTCCTTCGTGGCAGAATGAGCTAAGGAACCCAAGTCTTAAGTGACCTGAGGTGACGTGTGGTCGTTGCGTCAAGAAAGTGAATGCAGCCCTCACCGCCTCGGGGCTGTCATGAAAATGCAAGCCGTCTCGGCCCCAGTCTAGCCTCAGGCACGTGTCTGCAAACACATTGAACGCATCATGTCAGTGCAACCCAGATCAACCCAGTGCAACCCAGTGCAACCACAAGCCTAGCGGAGACATCTGCATGTCATTCCAAAGCTGAGGTGCTTCAGGCTCATCAACCGTCTACCATCCAGGTACTCGTACACAACTGTGTGGTGATCGATGGTTCCTGGGATGGCGTGAGCAAAGATTGGCCCAAAGCCTCGAGAAGCCTGCTGGGATGCTAACCGCCAAGGAAAGGATCTCGCCAGATCGCCACGTGACGAAACCTCCGTGTGGCAAGCTCGCCATACTCCGCTGCGTGCAAGCGACGCTGTGTTCATGTTTTAGGGTTTAAGGGGTTTAGGGTTTAGGGGTTTTAGGGTTTAGGGGTTTTAGGGTTTAGGGGTTAGGGTTTAGGGTTTAGCTTTTAGGGTTTAGGGTTCAGCAGCTCTGGGTCGAGCAATCTCTAGTAGAGCCACTGTCTGGACTCTAGAAAAAAACCCACCCACCCAGAGAATCCCAAAACATTAAGAAATATAAAGTTCACATTTTTCCTCAGCAAGCCCTGTCCTCCAACCTCATTTATTCATTCTGCTCGTGTTCTTTGTCATTCTGCTTGGTTTCCATTCTGCTCGTATGCGTTTCTTTCTGCTCGTATTCATTCTGCTCGTATTCGTTCTTTTTTTGATCTGCTCGTCTCGTGTTCGTTCTCGTTCTGCTCGTATTCATTCTGCTCGTATTCGTTCTCTCTCTGCTCGATTTCAGTCCGCTCGTTTTCGTTGTTTTTCTTCTCGTATTCATTCTGTTCGTATTCGTTCTCTGCTCGATTTCAGTCTGCTCGTCTTCGTTCTCTCTCTGCTCGTAATCATTCTGCTCGTCTTCGCTCTCTTTCTGCTCATATTCATTTTGCTCGTGTTCGTTCTCTTTCTGCTCGTATTCGTGCTTTTTCTGCACGCATTCGTTCTCTCTCTGCTCGATTTCAGTCCGCTCGTGTTCGCTGTCTTTCTGCTCGTACTGAGTCTGCTCGTACTCATTCTCTTTCTGCTCGTATTCATTCTGCTCGTATTCATTCTGCTCGTATTCGTTCTCTCTCTGCTCGATGTCAGTCTGCTCGTATTCGTTCTCTTTCTGCTCATATTCACTTTGCTCGTGTTCGTTTTCCCCGGTGACCCTGCCTATTTTTGGCCGTCTTGTTGGTTGTGTTTGGCACACTTTAAGCTGCCTGGCTTCCACATGGTTGCTTTCCAATTAGTGCCCCGGTGACCTCGCCTCATGTTGGCTTCTGCTCGTAGGGTTTGATGAGAGGCCTAGAGGTTTGTCGTATGTCCCCTCTCTTCGTGCTCGTAGGGTTTGTCGTATGTCCCTCCCTTCATGCTCGTAGGGTTTGATGAGAGGTCTACAGGTTTGTCGTACGTCCCCTCCCTTCGTGCTCTTAGATTTTGTCGCATGTCGCCTCACTTCGTGCTCGTCGGCTTTGTCGTATATCCCTCTTCGTCTGCTTGCAGAGAATCCCAAGAATTAAGAAATTGAGGTTTTATTTTCAGAGGTCTGTCGTATGTCCCCTCCCTTCGTGCTCGTCGGCTTTGTCGTATGTCCCTTTTCTTCTGCTTGCAGAGAATCCCAAAACATTGAGAAATGTACCGGTTTATTTTAGAGGTTTGTCGTATGTCCCCTCCCTTCGTGCTCGTAGGGTTTGACGAGAGGTCTACAGGTTTGTCGTACACCCTCTTCCTTCGTGCTCTTAGGATTTGTCGTACGCCTCCCTTCGTGCTCGTAGGGTTTGTCGTATGTCCCCTCCCTTCGTGCTCGTATGGTTTGATGAAAGGTCTACAGATTCGTCGCATGTCCCTTCCCTTCGCGCTCTTAGGGTTTGTCGTACGTCCCCTCCCTTCGTGCTCGTCGGCTTTGTCGCATGTCCCTTGCCTTCGCGCTTGCTGTCCCCAGACCGAAGGTAGAACCAAAAGTATTGGTCCGGATTGACAAAAAACCTAATTTTGTTAACCTCATGTTTGGTTTTCCCCCACCCCACCCTCGAACCATTCCAGTTCGAGCCAATCCCCAACCCACCCTAGAACCAACTACCCGTATTCGTTCTCTCTCTGCTCGTATTTCTCTGCTCGTCTTCGTTCTGCTTACGTTCGTTCTCGGTTCGTAGTTCGAACCAATCCCTAACCCACCCTAGAACCTTAACCTCATGACTATAGCCGTTGGTCCGAATGGACCGAAAAACCGAATGTCTTGACACGCTTCAAGCTGCCTGGCTTCCACATGGTTGCTTGCGAAGCCCTCATCCAGGTTTCCAACCCCAGAATGGGGGTCCGGAAGTTGCTTTTCCCCACCCCACCCAAGATGAGAAACACTAAGAAGGGGCTGCTGCGTTGCCCCGCAAAGATCCGGCCCAGACCCAGGTTTTCAAGCCTAGAATGGGGGTCTGGGTCAGAAGGGGGGGGGGTGGGGTGGGGGGGTGGGGGGGGTGGGGGGGGGGGTGGGGTGGGGGGGCGTCTGCTCATTCTCTTTCTGCTCGTATTCATTCTGCTCGTATTCGTTCTCTTTCTGCTCGACGTCAGTCTGCTCGGATTCGTTCTCTTTCTGCTCATATTCACTTTGCTCGTGTTCGTTTTCCCCGGTGACCCTGCCTATTTTTGGCCGTCTTGTTGGTTGTGTTTGGCACACTTGAAGCTGCCTGGCTTCCACATGGTTGCTTTCCAGTTAGTGCCCCGGTGACCTCGCCTCATGTTGGCTCCTGCTCGTAGGGTTTGATGAGAGGCCTAGAGGTTTGTCGTATGTCCCCTCTCTTCGTGCTCGTAGGGTTTGTCGTATGTCCCTCCCTTCATGCTCGTAGGGTTTGATGAGAGGTCTACAGGTTTGTCGTACGTCCCCTCCCTTCGTGCTCTTAGATTTTGTCGTATGTCGCCTCCCTTCGTGCTCGTCGGCTTTGTCGTATGTCCCTCTTTGTCTGCTTGAGTTAAGTACAACAAAGGTACTTAAGACAAGGAAAGACGCACAACGGGCACGCCTATTTTCCTTGAGCCAAAATACAATCAGTCATCCGAATCTGCTCTCCTAACCCTACTTGGTATGTACAGCTAAACGGTGGTTTGGGGCCAGTTTAGTTAACTCCCCCCTTTAGGAGACAGAACGGTGAGACTGGACTAGCAGATTGAGGGCAGGTTGAAACCTGCGCTCAGTAGTGTTGCGCGGTCTGAAGGACTCAAGCGCTCGGCATTTCTGATCAGGAATGCTATGGCAACGATTCGTTCTGAAGCCTCACATCCTGTCAGGACTGTGCAGTGGCGTGCTCTGGGATTGAAGAGTGCAGGGTTACACAACATGTGACCCCATAGGCTGTCGTCGTTTGGACATTGGACAGTCCCTTCCTCATCTTCTACCCACAATATGGGTCCACTTGTTGGATTTAACGCTACAAGGAGGTTCTTTGAGCCTTCTGCATTGTTGGAGTCTCGGTGGAGCCCCGCGACTACACCTTGCTGCACGATTATGCTTGAGAACTTGTGTGATGGCATATAACGTCGAAAGAATCGACATATCAACGCCGTTGCATATTGAAATTTGTGTGTGTTTGTCTGCAGGCCAAACACTCCTCCTAAGACAAATGCGCCCGCAGAAAATACATGCGAGTCGTGCCCCGGTGCCCCCCTCTTATCAGGACCATGAGGTAACAGCGTCAGTAGCTGCACCAGATGCTGACAAGTCGGGACCTTTGGGCAACTGCCTGCGAAGACTTCTGCGGCAAGATTTGCCTCTGCAAGTGCGGCGACGGCAGTTTCCAGGTGGGGTCCATCGCTGGATGCTGTCAAGCCAAACTGTGCGAGAGTATGTGGCCATTCTGCAGGTGGAATGACTTTTGTTAGGCCATTAGCTATCTGAGATTCGCTCTTGCAGTACACGGCAGTGACTTGTGGCGACTCTAGCTGTTCAGACATTGATGCAATGTTGACCCTGTGGACTCGATTGCAGTGTCTCAGCTTCGCCGAATAGCCTGTAGCCAGGACTTTGAGCAAGGTCTCGTTGTCTTGATGGAATACGACGTCGATAGCACGACCGAGGAGATGCTCCATCATGACCTGAATGTTCAAGGCCTCACCAAACATGGCGGAAGCCATTGCTATGGCCTCAGCCTCGGGAGTGCTTCTTGCAACACTCGTCTGTTTCTTAGATGCCCACCACAGCGGAAAGCGGAAATCTGTTGACCCTATAGTCATGTAGATCCCGCTCGTCGATTTTGCACTATGCGGACAAGAGGCGAAATCACTGTCAGTGAAGATGTGGATCTGGGGAGCTTCGTGATGGTTCACAGTAGCAGCTAAACATAAGCCTGTTGTACCGTGAAGATACGAAATCAGGCGAAGTAACTGCTTGTCTTCCCATTTAGTCCACGCGGCCACTCGTGACGCTAACCGACCGATTATGAAACACAGATCAGGGCGAGCCAACCGACCCAGCCAAAGTGCTTTCATAAGTACCTTTGCAGCTACATGGCTCAGTGTGCCGGGTTGCTGCAGGTCCTCATCTGACAATAACGCCTCGGACAAACTTGGGGTTGTGACGTTACGGAGCTTTGCCTTTGGGACATCAGCAAGCTCGCAGTACGCCTCGACGACCTGCTCTGCGAAAGCAGACATATCAAGCACAAGAGTTGTGAAGTCACTGCCTCGTTGGATTCGGTGACCTCTGCCAAGGATCCGTGCATTCGAGGCTTCGATGTAACATTCGTCTTCCAGCTTGATATGCGCTCTCAGCCTTTTCCAAAACTGTGCATGAAGATGCTTTGCTCCCGACAACGTTAGGTCATCTACATACACGTTAAGTAGCAGGGTATGGGAACCCATTTGAAAGATGAAGTTTGAAGGAAACAAATCCATCTCAACGCCACCAAAGGAAGTGAGAACAGAGGCTAGGTGTTTCTGCCATAGTTTGCCAGCAAGCGGATGGCCATATAAGCTTCGCTTCAACCTTACCACCAACTTCGACCCTGATGGGTACGCTTTGTGCCATGTGTCCAACCACAGCTCCTCGGGGAGGATAACCCATGTGTCGGGCTCTCCTGCCTCAGCGAGGTCAGCTTGAAGAAATGCCTGAATGGCATCTGCAAGGCTCACTGCGTTTCCATCTTGGCAGCCGAAAAACAATGCGATGTTAAGGGCAACCAAGGAAGTTGGTGTGGTAGCCACGTCTTCAAAAAGAACATGGTTTCCGAACTGGTCAAAAATGCAGTCCCCCCTGTACACGATTCTCCCTTTGAACTTGTGTTCATGCTCAGGGAGTTCGAAATGTTTTATCCCACATAATGTGAGAAGCTCTGCAATTTTGAGTTTACGGTTTTGCCGTTTTGCATCGGCACGCAAGGAAGACAAAAGACAGACTGTCAAATCATCCCACGTTCCGTTAGAACGTAACCCTTCTGCCTCCTTCTTCACGGCTGCAACTCCGCGCGGGTCTGCTTTCCATTCCCGCTTTGTTAAGTTCTTCGTGACCATGGAGGGGATGTGGCGATGGTAGCGTTGCGGATACCACGCTTCGACGATGTTGTGAGCGAGCTCTCGTGGGTATGCTTCAGTCTGCTTTGTTTGTGAGCCTTCGGCGGCCTCGTGCTGGTGGCTACCGTCACATTGCAGTTGTCCAAGAAATTGAACAAGTCGCAGATCATTAGTGGCTACGCTCCAGGGCTTGCGGATTGGATGCTCTCGGCCCTTCACTCCAGCCATGCAGCCATCAAAAGACACTTTGTGTAGACCATGTTCATCCTGAAATTCTTTCCATTCAGGGAGATCCCACCAGCCGGACCCTTTGGGCCACTCGACTGCGATCCTTCCATGATTTGCGATGGCAGTTGCGAGTACCTTGCGGGCATACAAGAACATAAGCTTGCTCTTCTCTTGGCGATTCCGAAGACCCTTTCCGTACTTCGCCCCATGCCTATGGACGTTCATGTTCTGCCACGGACTGAACTCGGTGCACGGCAATGAGAGCCACACATCACAACCTGGCGATGCTTCGACCTGACCTTGAACTTGTTTGACATGTTCTTCGTTGGACAAATCAATCATGCTTCGGCATAAGCGGATACTGTTGATGCCAATTTCGGACGCAGCTTGCGAAAGCTCTGAACTGTCGCCACACGCATATTCGAACAACACATCCTTGCCTATGAGCGTTTGCACCTTTCTTTGGCGGACTCTTTCCCTGTTGACATCGACAAAGACTTGCGTCACACCGAGCTCGACCTTCGCAACAAGACCTTCTACAGCGGGCTCACTCGAAGGGTGGAGACCAACGCCTTCGGGGAGCTCAGCTGGAGGAACTGGCTCAGGGGGCTTGGACGTCAACGCAATCCTATCAGCCTTTATCAGGGCATCGAATCTTGCTCGGCATTTAGGACTATGCTTCACGGAATCGAAAGTGCACGCTTTGCATCCTGGTGTGGCACCGAACTTAAGAATGCGTTCAAGCGTAATGTACTCTGCGCGCCTTCGAGGAGGATCAGCAGGGGACAGTGAGCTGAATGGTATGTCCAGCGCTGTGATAGCCTCAAGTTTGGGATCCTGGAACTCGCGAAGAGCAAGATCCGCCGCGGCCTTTAGCGGGAAGGTCTCAGTCTCTGGGACATGCACTTCCGCATATGGCACGGGGATCATGTCCCTATACCCAATCGACTTGGACTTGACGGCTTCATAGTCTAGCACCCAGATCACGTCACGATACACAAATCCGTGCTCAAACCTCCAACCTGCAAATAGTCCGGGAGCAGTTGTAGCTTCGAACTTATGCCTGCGGCTGGGGTCATGGATCCTGTAATGCACCAACTGTCCCAAGGGAAGCCTTGGGCCTTCGAATGGGGAACCAGTTGCAACCTCGAAACGCGACTTGTCTTTGCCCTGCCACGGTACAACTGTCAAAGTCTGCGCGGCAAACTGCACGGACACATGCCACAGATCTGGAACCACATGGAACCCAGCAGCCAAATGCACCGCGCGAGTCGATTCCTCGAGAGTTCTTATCTCTCTCTCAAGTTGGGCGTTGTGTGGAAATCTGTTTTCTAGGGTCGCTTCATGCACCCATCCTATTTGTGAGACGGCAGCTATTAACTCCTTTGCATCATCAGCCTTACACAACACGTTCGGGAGGTGCTTGTATCGGGCGCCTACAAAGGTAAGGAGGTTCTGAGCTGCTCTCTCAGCTGTGCGCGCACAGACAAAAGCTCGCAGTGCACCACTATATTCATCCCTGATGACATGGACTGCATGCTCACGCTTCGAAGGGATTATATAGTCTGTTGCAATCCTCTCGCCAAACTGTTCAGCAGGAGGCAAGTCACCTCTGTCTTCGAGAGGCTCTGCACGCTTCTTGGTGACTCTTTGTCGATACATGCGGCTTCGCTGACATATCTCACAGTAGGGATTCTTAGGGATATGCGTCAACTTGTGTGCCATTGAAGAGGCCTCCTTGATGAGTTGCTTCTGACGTTCTGATGTCACGTCCTCTCCTGAGTCCGACCCAGAACCTGGCGGAATGGCAGGTGGAGGAAGTGGAGGTGGCGGGACCTCGGGTTCTACTGGAGCAGGAGGTTCCGGAGCCTTCGCTGCTTCAGCAGGTTTAGGAGCTTTTGCACCTTTGACCTTGTCCTTTGGACTTGGTTTAGCCTTTGGCTTTCTTGCTGAAGAGGACTTTGCCCTAGACTTCAGCTCGTCATCAGAGTCAGGTGGAGGATCTCTAGACCCGGAGGCGGTCTTTGACGGCACCCCTGGATCCTGCAACAACTCAAGCAAGGTAGACTCCTCCGTGATATGCGGCGAGGGTCGATACGTGGTGTGCCGTGAAGGCTCTATGGTAGTGCGTGCAAGAGGCTTTGCCTTTCTAGCATCGCTCATGAAGCCAGGCATCGCAACAGTGGAAGGCGAGACGAATCTGACCTGTTCCCTGAAGATTGGAACATTTCCCTCAACTCTATCGGCACATATGGCGGATTCTTCAATGACCTGAACGTGTTCGACACTCGACAGGAACATCGGAAGCTTTCCTGGCAACCATACAAACGGCATAGACTTTGTCTCTACCAACTCACCAAGTGATTTTACACTAGGGCAGTTGTCCAGGAGATATGCAGAATTGTTTCCTAGAATGGAACCCTCGAAGCCAAGCATGAGCCCTGAATCAACGACACCATTCCCTGTGGAAAAGGATACTGTGGGTGCCTGTTCGGCCATGTGTGCGTATGCGTCTTCAGGAATGCCTTGTTCATTGAGGGCTTCACGACTCTCTAGGGATCTACCTGCACCACTATCAGCGATCCACTCGTGGTAGAACCATCCCTGTTGCGGGTGCTGATGCTGAGATGCTACAAGCAACGGAGTGACAGTGGCGGGACAGGCAGGAGCGCAGATGTTGCTGAACACAGTAAACCACCCCGAAACGAACTGGAAGAACCTACTCAATCCTGAACGCTTCCAAAAGGTTGTCTTGCTCGGTGTGGAGGAACCATCGACCGAGGCACCCCGCGCCGTAGTGGGAAGCAGCAGGGCGACAGCTGCGGCAGAGCTCTTTGCCGTAGCGCTAGCTCCAGTAGTCTTTGACCCTGGGGCCTTGTTACCGGGAGAGGTCTCATGCGAAAACGGACAATTCTCACCCCGGTTACACGTTCCCTTTGGGAAGAACAGGCATGGTACGGTAGCTTTGGGGGCATTTCCTTTGCTTGGGGCTTTGCCTTCAGCTTTGGAGCCCTGGCCTTTACCGCCTGATTTCGCCTTTGGCTTGTTTGGTGTTTTCTGTGAATCTGCACCCTTACCATTCCCTTTACCCCCCTTTCCCTTGCCATCCTTGTCTTTCCCATCCTTCCCAGAACCTTTGGTCTTGGCCGGAGGGGCTGGATTGGCAGGAGTGGGCTTGTCCGGCTTATCGCGGGAACGCTCCTCTTTCTTTGGGGCGGGAGCAGCTTTGGCTTTGGGCTTGATGAGAGTGTCACGAATTGACTCTTCGTTTGCTTCTTCTCTCAGCTCATCTAGCAATTCGACAAGCTGCGACCACAACCACGCAAAGGTTCGCTTGTTGCTACCTGGATTGGAGTCTTTGATCTTGTCGACTGCTCTGGAAAGAAGCCTGCAGTGCTTGAGCTTGGAGTATAACCAGCTAAACAAGGTAGACTCAGCGGGCCATGCTTCGGGACTGAAACCGTTCAAACAAAACTCAACCTTTTCTCTAAAGGCTTGCAGTTGTTGTTGGCTGAAGCCTTCGAGCTGGATGGCTAAGAGTGTCTGCTGGGAGACTGTCGCCCCCCTGATCCGGTCTACCCGAAACCTTCGGCTGAGCATTGCCAACAGCGCACGCCCGGAAGGCTGCACGCCTAACGCATGTGCTCGCTCGGTGAACGCCTGGGCAGCGACTCCGTAGTCTCCCTTGAGGTGTTTTGGATCTGTAAGCTGTGCAGCCAGGAATGCATCAAGGCGGGGAAGGCCGTCAGACGTGACCTGCAGATTGCGCATCTGTCGGTCTCCTATGGCTGGATCAAGGGCGACCTGGAGCCATCTCAGTATCCTGGCGTTCCCACTCTTGTCTATGCTGCTGAACGATGTCAAAACGCCGTTCCTCCATGCTCGATATCCCGCGGCTGTCGAAGGAAGTGCAGGGATTTTCAGGTCTCGAAGATCTTTGTTGTGGTAAGTATCCTGCTCATAGTCTACTTCTTCTTCCCCCGGTGCATCGGTGACATCAATGATGGGGTCATCTTCCCTCTCCTCTTCCTCCTCACCTTCCTCGTGTTCGGACCCGATGTCGTAGTGCATCGGAGGGTCTGGGGGATGCACGACTGAAGGAGGTTTGGGAGTGGAGAAGACGTTGAAGGGATTGTCACTCGAAGAACCCTTCTTGGATCTAGACGGAGCCGGCAAACCAACACCGGTGAAAACTGGCAACCTGGGTGCGCAGAAGCATCCAAACCGATTTGGAACAGGCGCAGCAGCCACACCAGCAGATCTTTGACCTTGAGTTGCTGAGACCTTTGGACTCTTATGCTTAGGGGAGGGTGTCCCGTTTCGGAGCCCCGAACCTTTCGCTTTGCTTTTAGGCTTGGATGCTTTGGGACTGACGATTTCTCGCAACTCCTTCATTGTCTCACCAACACTTGCAGCCAAGGCCTTGAGGGCTTCACTGATCTCCGTGCCATTTTGGTCCTGAGCCCTTGAGGCCTGCGACACTCGCTCTGCGTGAAGGTGGGACGTGTCGGCTTGGGACTGTTGTTGAGCTTTGATGCTTTGCATCTCAGCTTGGATCATCGCAATCCGCTTCATCATTTCTTCCTGCTGCTCCTCAAGCTCACGATTCCTAGCCTGAAGTGAGGCAATGGTTTCGTTTGCTTGTGCAAGATGCTGACCGGCTTGTTCTGAAACACTCTGGACCTGTCTCTCAGCTTCAGCCCTAACGCGCTCTGCATACTCTTGTGCGTGCTGCATGGCTTCATGTTGAGCAGAAGTGACAGCGCCCTGAACATATGCCTGAGCCTCACTCTTTGCAACCTGCACGTATGCCTGAGCTTCATGCTGAACGTTCTGGGCAAACACCTGAGCGTCCTGTTGAATGTTTTGTGCTTGCGCTTGTGCCAGCTGTGCAGCAGCAACGGCCTGAGAATGTGTTCGGGAATCAACCCCATGAAGATGCAATTCCTGACGACTCTGATGCAGGTGCAACTCTGGGGCAATGCGCTGAACATGCTGATGCAAGTGCACATCCGGGGTGGTTGTCCCATCGCCCGGTGCAAGCGAAACAGGTTGACTTGCTGGTGCAGGACTTGCAACTTCACATGCATAAGCTGGCGGAGGCAACAAAGCTTGCATCCTAGCGGAGGAAGAGCGATTTCGGGAACTAGCTAAGGCATAGGGTTGAGAGGACCTTCCCCTTCCGGTTGAAACGGCTCTTACGGGAGTGGAATCACTACTGCTCTCTCCTACCCTTGCTTCTTGTGCCCTTACAGCACTGAGTGCCCGCGCCTGTTGTGTAGGCGGCGTGCTGGAAGTGGACACCTGGAGCGAGGAATCAGTAGTTTCGGGACTCATCGCCATGGTGCCAGGCAATAGAAACCCCAGGTTCCCCTGAAGGTCAGCAGCTCTCTTTTAGCGTTTTACAGGGACCGCAGCCACAACAACACAGTGGGCACGAGATCAGTCAGCCACGTATTCGGCGATACCAAAATACCGTGAACACCATACGCCTCGACGTCCCGCACGATGTCTGATCTGTCATCCAAATGACACGCAAAGTGATCCGACCGCCGGTCCATCAAACGCTTAATGAAGGCTCCTTTTCCAGGACGGCCCGTTGGAGAGCTAGTGATGTAGACTGGCACGCCCGGAAGCTCCGAAGCCATCGACTGACGCGTTTCTTTGGCCCGTTCTGTCCCAGAGTAACTCGTGCAAATAAACTTCAGCTTCACGTGGCTCGGACGCTCTGCGTTCAAACGGTCCAAAAAATCTCGGCTGTCCTGAAAGTGGATGTTGAGCACCCCGCTGAAATCCAATGAAATCAGGACAGGGATGTCCTCACGCACTTCGACCACTTCCAAAGGTGCAACACGCGGCGCGGCAGAAGAAGAAGATGAGAGCGCCTGATTATGCTCTCTCCACTCTTCAGTAGTCCACCGGTTTATGGCTTCTCTATCTGAGTGTTGTCCCAATTCAACCTGTACCCTGAACGAATCCGCTATGGTTGGATACTCTCTTTCGTCCAACTCCCAGTCCTGCGGTGGTCTGGACTCGGGTCGGGCCTTTGCTTTGGGACGATACACAAGAAGATCTGCTGCAGCCTCCGGTGCACGTGACGGACCTGGTGTTCCGGGCAAGGTACTTGCCTTGGGAGGAACCGGGGTTCTATTACCCTTATGTTTAGGTCGTGCCCTAGGAGGTGCAGGGGTTCGATCACCCTTATGTTTCGGTCGCGGTCTAGGAGGTACCGGAGTTTGGTCAGAACCCTCAACCAAGGAACGAGGCGGAGATCTGGAACGCACTGCGACAGGAGGAGTCCTCGGAGCCGGTATCTCAGGCTCCGGCGAAGGTGCCTGAAGCACTCCTCTGACCTCTTCCAGGGTATCCTCGACGAACGTAGCGTAAGGATGATATGGCAATGCCTCCGTGCCCTCGAGCTCTCTTTCTCGAGTTCGGACCAGCCGTATGGCCCCAGACTGCTGCTGAGTACCGATGAGAAGCTGCACCAGCGCACGGATGACCACCAAGAGGACAGCTTTCCTCCGACGGAACTCAGACGAGCCTTTGACCGCAGGCGAGTTCGTGGCCCTGGAAAAAGCAGCAGTCACACGCTCCACAAAGGACTCTTCAGAGGTCACGCGTTCCCACGCCTGAAAAAAATCGTTCCAACCCATGGTACCAGAGACAATTGCACAGCCTGATTCGGGCGGCGACCCCTCTTTGCCTAATTCGGGCGGCGACCCCAACAAGCCTAGAAAGTGGCCAGAAGAATGTGTGCAGAGTGCCTGAGCTTGACTACCTTGCCGGGATTCCTCAGATGGGATATTGGGGCAATGCAGGTCTTTCAACTAACGACACGCACTCAACCGGCTGTCTGAGCCAATGCACACGGATGAGAGTGGGGAAGACCCGCGACTCTCTTTGCTTTGACCCTGAAACCTCTTAGGGATTGGGACTTTGTCCGATGTTGCGTTCACAGTGCGTGGTCAAGCCGACGGCACTGTGGGTTTGCTGTTGGCGGAGTGATGGGCTTAGTCTCAACCCGAAGGGAGACCACAAACCACGCGAAGATCGAAGTCTGAACTGAACCTGCTGTTTGGGCAGTTCGAGGCGAAGCACACGGTGATGCAGTGATGCTTCGTCAGACGCCTAGGGTACCCACAAGGCCTAGCCTCCCTAAACCGTGCACGGGTTCACAGGAGAGGGTACAAAGGCAAGATGTTCAGGAATGTTTGAAGTGAAGTCCGAAAGTCAGAACCAACCAGGGCAAGAGGGGCGAGCACCTCGACACTGCAGCGGAGATGCGCAGCCACACGATGTACCTGGATGTCACGGAAAGTATTGAGGCAATCTAGGGACCCACCTATCGTCGGCGTACGTTAAAGCACGGACAAGGACCCTAAGCTGCCAGTCAAACGATACCTCTCTGTAGTGATTAGCAAGAAGATTACTCACGAACCTTCTCCACCAATTTAGCGGATGAGCAATCAACAAACGCGTGATGCGTTTCTCACGCAAGGCCTTAATGAAATGAACCCAAATGTGGAGGTGTGTTGCGTAATGCTCTTCCGGCTCAGTGCTTTGCATGCACGATCGAAGATTTCGAGATATGGAATGCCACGTGGAAAGCCCAACGGTGGCTTGCAGGTGAAGTGAATGCAATTGCTGAGCCTGGCTCTGGCTCGACACAATGCTGGATGTGAAGTATGAATGAGGCAGGGCCAGCGGCTCCTGTCGCGCAATTTCAAGCACACTCTCAAGGCAGGTGTGCGGTTATGGAGGGGGCACTATGGCGGCGCGCGGCTTTGCCTACGTTCCTACCAAAGTGACCACAGAGCTTGAGGCTGTTAACCAGTTAAGTACAACAAAGGTACTTAAGACAAGGAAAGACGCACAACGGGCACGCCTATTTTCCTTGAGCCAAAATACAATCAGTCATCCGAATCTGCTCTCCTAACCCTACTTGGTATGTACAGCTAAACGGTGGTTTGGGGCCAGTTTAGTTAACTGCTTGCAGAGAATCCCAAGAATTAAGAAACTGAGGCTTTATTTTCAGAGGTTGTCGTATGTCCCCTCCCTTCGTGCTCAGACCCAGGTTTTCAAGCCCAGAATGGGGGTCTGGGTCAGAAGAAGGAAGGGGGGGCATAGGGGGGGGTGTAGGGGGGGGGGGGGTGGGGGGGGGGGGTGTGGGGGGGTGTGGGGGGGGGGGGGGGGGGGGGGGGGGGGTGGGGGGGGGGGGGGGGGGGGGGGGGGGGGGGGGGTGGGGGGGGGGGGGGGGGGGTGGGGGGGGGGGGGGGGGGGGGGGGTGGGGGGGGGTGGGGGGTGGGGGGTGTGGGGGGGGGGAAGGTGGCCACTGGCAAAAAAAGCCGTGGCCATGTGCATTGGCAAAAAAGGCGTGGCCATTGGCAACTTTCCCGTGGCCATTGGCAAATGCTACTTGCCCATGGCCACGGCTTTTTTGCCAATGGCCACGTTCCCCATTAAGGTTGGGGCCCAACCTTAATGGGGAACGTGGCCATTGGCAAAAAAGCCGTTGGCAAAAAGCCCGAAAAGTTGCCAATGGCCACGGCTTTTTTGCCAATGGCCACGTTCCCCATTAAGGCTAGGGGGGGCATTTTGTGCGAATTGGGCTTGAAAAAGGGTTTAGGGTTCAGGGTTTAGGGGTTTAGGGTTGAGGGTTTAGGGTTTAGGGCTTAGGGCTTAAGGGTTAAGGGTTAAGGGTTTAGGGTTTAGGGCTTGGGGTTTAGGGTTTAGGGTTTAGGGTTGAGGGTTTAGGGTTTAGGGTTTAGGGTTTAGGGGGCTTTAAGTAAATTGAACCTATGGATCTAAAAGAGGTTTAAGGAAATTGAAGAAATATGAAAGGAGAAAGAGTTCGGGACAAACCAAAAAAGATACCAACTTCACTGGCGCAGTTAGCGCAGCTCTAAAATTTAGGGTTTAGGGTTTAGGGCTTGGGGCTTAGGGTTTAGGGTTTAGGGGGCTTTAAGTAAATTGAACCTATGGACCTACAAGAGGTTTAAGTAAATTGAAGAAATATGAAAGGAGAAAGAGTTCGGGACAAACCAAAAAACATACCAACTTCACTGGCGCAGTTAGCGCAGCTCTAAAATTTAGGGTTTAGGGTTTAGGGTTTAGGGTTCGCCAGTGAAGTTGGCGCCTAGAGCATTATTAGGAAAGTGTCTTTTGATAACGCGAGAAAAAAGACACTAGGGTGTATCCATTCTTTAAGGGGCATTTAGAAGCCCAGATGTAGTCATAGTTTCGTTTAGATGTCATCATGTCGTTTAGATGTCCTTTGTCATCATGTGGGGCTGTCCTTCAACATTTAGATCGTTTATTTAGGGTTTATAGAAATTGTATAGGGTTCAGGTCCCAATAACGTTTTTTTTCACCGGGCGTCCCTCCAAAGAGGACAGCCGAGAAGTTTTGTTTTTTGGAACTATGTTTTTAGTTTTGGAAGGGGGTCCTCAAGAAAATACAAATTGACGCCACCGTCTCGGGGGGCGCTGCCCCCCGAACCCCCCGCCAGGACTCCTCGCCCTGGACCCCGCCAGCAATCGCTAAACCCTAAACCCTAAACCCTAAACCCTAAACCCTAAACTCTCTCTTTCATATAATAATTTAAACCTTAATGGGGAACGTGGCCATTGGCAAAAAAACCGTGGCCATTGGCAAAAAAGCCGTGGCCATTGGCAAAAAAGCCGTGGCCATTGGCAAAAAAGCCGTGGCCATTGGCAAATTCGCCAATGGCCGCGGGAAAGTTGCCAATGGCCACGGCTTTTTTGCCAATGGCCACCAATGTCATTAAGGTTGAATTTCCAATTTCGACCCTATTTACCCAACCCCGCCACCCCCCACCCAAACACACCCGCCCAAACCCTCCATCAGGCACTTCGGGGAGGGGCTTAGGGCTTAGGGATCCAAGACGAACCCCAGCCCCCCCTCCCCATTAAACCCCACCCCCACTTCTCCACCCCCGCCTCTCCCCCACAACCCCTCCCCCCCCCCCCCCCCCCCCCACCTCCCCACCTCCCCCCTCGCCCCCCTAAGCCTGCCTGGAAAGCCATTGCAATGTTATTCAAGAGCAAAGAAAAAACCGGTCAAAACCCCGTCAAAACCCGGCAACACCCCGTCAAAACCCCGGACACAAACCCTATACAATTTCTATAAACCCTAAACCGTAGCCCTAAAACCCTAGGCCCAAAATCCTAGGCCCAAAACCCTAGGCCCAAAACCCTAGGCCCAAAACCCTAGGCCCAAAACCCTAGACCCAAAACCCTAGGCCCAAAACCCTAGGCCCAAAACCCTAGACCCAAAACCCTAGGCCCAAAACCCTAGGCCCAAAACCCGACGCCTAAAACCCTACGCCTAAAATCCTAGGCCCAAAACCCTAGGACCAAAACCCTAGGCCCAAAACCCTCGGCCCAAAACCCTAGGCCCAAAACCCTAGGCCCAAAACCCTAGGCCCAAAACCCTAGGCCCAAAACCCTAGGCTTAAAAAATCTAGGCCCAAAAACAACCCTAGGCCCAAAACCCTGGGCCCAAAACCCTAGGCCCAAAACCTAGGCCCAAAAACCCAGGCCCAAAAATAGGCCCAACCCTAGGCCCCAAAACCCCTCCCTAAAACCGCCCCCCCCCTCCCCCTCCCCCCCACTCCCCCCCCCTCCCCCACCCCACTCCCCCCACTCCCCCACTCCCCCACTCCACTCCCCACTCCCCCACTCCCCACCTCCCCCACTCCCTCCACTCCCCCCCCCACTCCCTCCCCCCACTCCCCCCCACTCCTCCCTCACTCCCCACTCCCCCACTCACTCCCCCACTCCCCAAAAAGTAGGATGCTAGTTAAACACGCTCGGTCCCCAAAAAGGCAGGATGCTAGTTGAGTACTCTCGGTCCCCAAAAGGCAGGATGCTAGTTAAACACGCTCGGTCTCCAAAAAGCAGGTTTCTAGTTAAACATGCTCGGTCCCCAAACAGCAGGATGTTAGTTCAACACGCTCGCTCCCCAAAAAGAAGGATGCTAGTTGAACACGCTCGGTCCCCAAAAAGCAGGATGCTAGTTGAACACGCTCGGTCCCCAAAAAGCAAGAAGCAGGATGCTAGTTGAACACGCTCGGTTCCAAAAAGCAGGATGCTAGATGAACACGCTCGCTCCCCCAAAAAAAAGTAAGATGCTAGTTGAACACGCGTTCAGGATGTGTTTCCACTCGAGGCAGAGCTTTGATTACTCGGGTCATCTCGATATCGATTTCAAGGACCTATTTCATGTATGCTGCATGCGTGTTTGGGGGGGGGGGGGCGGCTGGGAATGTCTGTCCGCCCTCTTGCCAGGCCACCTCCCCACAGCCGGTTCTTTTCCGAGTGATTTGAGCCGCTGTGTGGCTGCTCACAAAAGGTCTCATTATCTGCGGCACATGTGGCCACAGAGCTCTGCAAATTTCTGCGCCTCAGGGAAGCTAAAGCCGCTGGGACGTCAACGGGACGTTGCATCGTGCCATATTACGTGCCATAGGCGTTTCAGCGTATTGCTAGCTGGATCCCCTGCGTCGCAGCATGTGCGAGTGGTCTCGTTGTTACATTCCAACATTCTAAAGTCGCCGACGCCCAGTCGTGCCACCGCGCTGGTGGTAAACGAGATCAACAGAGCAATGAGCAAAGCAGGCAAGCAGCACATG